GTCTCGATCACCATGCAAACCCCCACAAGCCTAGACACCAAAAACCCAAACCCTAAAAAAAACAACGCTACAAACATTAAGCCCTAAAACATCTTAAAAACAAACCCTAAAATCACTCAACACTCTAAACCCCCAAAACCTTAAATCCTAAAAGCCACAAACTCTAAACTTCCCCAAAACCCCTAACCCTAAAGACCATTAAAAACCACCTAACCTTTGAACACCAAAAAGCCAACCCTAAATAGCCTGAACCCTAAAAGCCACAAACCTTAAAAGCCCTCAACACCAATAAGCCTAAAAAAACACTAAACCGTAAAAAATGTAAACACCAAAAAACCGTCAACGTAAAACGCCCAAACCCTCAAACCCTAAACCCTAAAATTCCTCAAAACCCCTATCCCTAAAAACTCTAAATCCTAAAACGCTAAACCCCAAAAAGCTTAAACCCTAAAACACAAATACCCTAAAAAGCCCAAACCCTGAAACCCTTAAACATTAACAAAACATTAAACCCAAAAAAGCAAACCCAAACACTGCAAAACCCAAGAACCCTAAACCCTAAAAAACCCAAACCCTAAAACACCTAAAAACCACTAACCCTTAACATCCTTAAAACCCCTCAACACCCCTAGCTTTCAAAAAGCCGCAACCCTTAAAAATCTGAACCCGTAAAACACAAAACCTTAAGCACACCACCCAAAAAAAAGACCCTACAAACCCTCAACCCTAAGGATTCTAAACACCAAGAAGCCTAAACCCAACAACAAAAAAACTAAACACATCCAACTCTACAAACCCTAAACCCTAAACACCAACCACTCTAAAAACCCTCAACACTCTAAACCCCCAAAACCCTAAACCCTAAAAATCCAAACCCTAAAACTCTTGACAACTACTCACTGCAAAGCCTTAAAACCCCTAACCCTAAAAGCCCCTAAACCCTAAAATGCCCAAACCCTAAAAACCCTTAACCCTAAACATGCCAACATGATGTGTGCAACATCTTCCTGTCATGTGCGGCACAAACATGACTGAAACTCCTGGCGGAAACCTAGGGGTCTGGGCGACCCTAAACCCTAAACCCTGAACACTAACCTAAACCCCTTTTCGAGGACTCTATGCCCTTTGTGTGCCGTGATGGCCTGCCTTTGGATTATGGGGCAGTTGCAGACGAGACTGGGTTGAAAGCAGGTTAAGAAAAGGTTTAAAGATGAGGGTTTAGGTTTAGGGTTTGGGGAATTTGGGGCTGTTGGCGTTTGGGGTGTCTGGAGCTTAGGGTCTACAATCCAGCCCACTACAGATTATATAAATATAAAGAAAATCATGTTTCATAGTACCTTAACATCATTCAAGACAAGTAGCCGGCAATTCGAGATAGTTTTTTCAAGGAGTTAATTGGTTCTGGGTTGAGTTGTTCTGGTTTCAGGTTTTATTGGGTTCACTTTTTACCCCCAAACCCTTACACCCCTAAACCCTTAAGCCCCTAAACCCTGGACCCTGAACCCTAAACCGGCCTTGGGGACTTTAGTTTTTGAGTTTTGTGGCTCAGGGTTTTAGGGTTTGGGATGCGCGCCTTAGGACATGGGGTTCAGAGTAGGGACCTCTCTGGCTCGGTTTATGGCTTAGGGTTTAGGGGTCTAGGGTTTAGGGGTCGAGGGTTTAGGGATTTAGGGTTTAGGGATTTAGGGTTAAGGGATTTAGGGTTTAGGGATTTAGGGTTTAGGGATTTATGGCTTAGAGTTTATGTTTTAGTGTTTATGGATATAGGGTTTGGGGTAGGGATGCAAAAAAGAGATGGTGAAGATGGCCTTAGGGTAAACAGCAGTTTCCATATATGACTAGAAACCGCCCCGGAACAGGCCCCCAAACATTCGAATCCTCATTATAGGGACCCCCAAAAAGGTGTCCTTAAGTTTGGGAAATCCACCCTATGGGCATTTGATCCTAGACCCCAAGCCCTAATCCCTAAGCCCTAGAACCTAAACCCTAAGCCCTGAACCCTAAAGACCCCAAACCCTAACCCTAATCCCCAAACCCCTAAACCCTAAATCCTTAACCCCAAACCCCTAAACCCTAAACCCCAAACCCCAAAACCCTGAACCCTAAACCCCTAGAGCACGGAAATCTTGGCCAGGAGCAACTAGAGGTCCTGGGTGCCTCGGCTATCGAAGATTGGTTGGCCCTACCTGAACCCCAAAAGTAGGTGACATAATAGCATTAAATCCTTAAGAACAGCACAATATGCAATTATTCTACATACTTTTGGGGTTCAGGTACACCGTAAACCCTCAACCCTAAAAAGGGTTGGGGGTTGCTCTAAACCCTAAACCCTCTACCCTAAAACCTAAGCCCGAACCCCCAAACCGCCCAGCCCTGAACCCTAGGCCCCTAGATGCTGCTGCCGACTTCAGGGGTTTAGGGTTCCTGGGTTTGGCTTGCAGGGTTTAAAGGTTTATGGATTGAGAGTTTGGGGCTTTATGTTCCAGAGTGCGGTGCTGTAAGTTTAGAACTTGGTGCTCGACCTTCATGAGGAGGTACAATGCACCCAGTATGCAGTGGTCAGATAGGGGCAGTACCGATTTCAGGGTATTGAGGCATCGGCTCTGCGCTAATGGTGGCCACAGGCGATAACGGAGATTTCGCCCGGGGGCTTATACTTACTGGAGCGTAATACGGAATACGGGAATATAGTCCTACATAATCCCGATAGAGTATATATTATACAGTTCCCCTAAAGTAGATAGAATGTAGCTTTCGGTGTATTATAATAAGATCCCCATATACCCCATGTTCTATCTACTTAAGGGGGACTATATATATACATATATATATATATGTGTATACCCTTACTCGATGCTAAGCCCTAGTACTCAGTAAGTATACATTGAAAGAATGCCCGCCCACTCTTAGTGGTTGGGGTGGACCACCCAAAGCAGGTGTCTGTGCGAATACCTTTGCCGCACCTGATTTACGACACATAGGGTTTGGGGCTTCGACTTGAGGATTGGGGCTTCAGGGTTACCCTAAACCCTAGAACCCTAGATCCTAAACCCTAAGCCTTAAACCCCCTAAACCCCTAACCCTAAACCCTAAACCCCTATTCAAGGTACTGGTTTGGTCAAGATTTGGTGGTAAAAGAGCTACTGTTGTATTGAAATGCCTAACCTCCATGTTCTGGCGAAGGTATGGGATTGCTACTTGTAGGCCTGCGCAAAGACTCCTCAACCAAAGGAGCAACTCCTAAGGATTAGGACCGTTTAGGGTTTAGGGTTTAGGGTGTAGGACCCTCGTATAGTCCTTTGATCGTCTTAGGGTCCTTACCATAGGGGTTTGTGTAGCTGCAATCCCTTCATTATCGCTTGGAAGCCTTTTGCCTCCAAGGTCTACCATACCTAATTCAACCTCCCGAACAATCTGTCCAACTTTCTAAACCCTAAACCCTA